AATAAGTTTTTATAAAAGAAAAATAAAGTGAATTAGAAGATATGAAACAGAGACCGCAATACTCATTGTTTAGCTCATAATAATCAATAGAATAAGTTTGATGCTCACTAGAATTACATTAATGCACATATAGTGGAACCGCGAATTTCACTTAAATTATCAAAATGTCGGATGTACCGTGCCTATCGTACAATTGGTGCTACGGTATAAGCTATGCACCTTGAAGCCCCCTATTCATTCGAGTAATTGAGTTCATCATGTCTTTAAACTTTGCTAGGAGTTTCATCAATCACCAATTCTCAATTTTCTAAATACTTATTATTATGTGCCACTAGTTACTCCACCCGTGCGCTGCACGGGAATGAGACACCCACATAATATTTTAGATATAGTTATATATTTAAAAATATTTAAAAAATATGATTGTGTTAGAATTATTTGAAAACATTATATAAATTCTGAATAAATGGTAAGAATTAAATATAAAACATGACACGATGAAATGGATGCGCATTTAAGTCCACCACATTATATAAATTCTGAATAAATGGTAAAATATGATGATTTTTTGTGTGGAAGGTGTAATTACATTTTAGGATTTTAGGCGGAGAATGTTTAAGCGGGATAATTTTCTCTCTCCGGTTTTGTGTTTTTAGGTATAGGATAGGATAGACGGAGAATGCTTAGGCGGAAGAATTTTCTCTCTCCTGTGTAGTGCTTTTAGGTATAAGATGTTTTTTTTTGTGGAAAGTGAAATTATATTTTAGGATGTTAGGCGGAGAATGCTTAGGCGGAAAAATCTTCTCTCTCCAGTGTAGTGCTTTTGGGTATAAGATGAAATTACATTTTAGGATTTTAGGATTATAGGATTATAGGAAGATGTTTTTTTTTGTGGAAGGTGTAATTACAGTTTAGGAATTTAGGCGGAGAATGCTTAAGCGAGAAAATTTTCTCTCTCCAGTGTAGTGCTTCTAGGTTTATGATGATTTTTTTTGCGGAAAGTGAAATTACATTTTAGGATTTTAGGCGGAAAATGCTTAGGCGAGAGAATTTTTTCTCTCCAGTGTAGTACATTTGGAACAAAAGGTATAGGATGATGATGATGATTTTTTTTTGTGGAAAGTGAAATTACATTTTAGGATTTTAAGCGGAGAATGCTTAAGCGGGAGAATTTTCTCTCTCCAGTTTAGTGCTTTTAGGTATATGATAGGATAGGCGGAGAATGCTTAGGCGAGAGAATTTTCTCTCTCCAGTGTAATGCTTTTAGGTATAAGATGATGATTTTTTTTTTGCGGAATGTGAAATTACATTTTAAGATTTTAAGCGGAGAATGCTAAAGCGGGATAATTTTCTCTCTCCAGTTTAGTTCTTTTAGGTATAGGATAGGATATGCGGAGAATGCTTAGGCGGGAGAATTTTGTCTCTCCAGTGTAGTGCTTTTAGGTATAAGATAGGCGTAGAATGCTAAGGCGGGAAAAATTTCTCTCTCCAATATAGTGCTTTTAGGTACATGATAAAATTAAATTTTAAGATTTTAGGATGATGAATTTTTTTGTGGAAAGTGTAATTGCATTTTAGGATTTTATAGGCGGAGAATGCTTGGTTGGGAAATTTTTTTTCTCTTTAGTATAGTGCTTTTATGTATAAGATGATTTTTTTAGCAGAAAGTGAAATTACATTTTAGGATTTAAAGCGGAGAATACTTAAGCGAGATAATTTTCTCTCTCCAGTGTAGTGCTTTTAGGTATAGGATAGGATAGGCGGAGAATGCTTAGGCGGGAGAATTTTCTCTCTCAAGTGTAGTGCTTTTAGGTATAAGATTAGTAGTTGAGAGACGAACACGCATAAGTCAACACGTACTCAAATACAATAATTTAACTATTCATAAAATATACTCCCTCCGTTCCTATTTTATCTTCCAAATAGGTTTGGCACACAATTTAAGATAGTGAGTATTGTGTGGTGGAGAGTTGTGCAGAGGAGAGAGAAATGTGTAAGAAATGTTGTGAACCACAAATTCTTTACTAAAAAGGGAAAGTGAAAGTTTTAATTGGAGCGGACGAAAAAGGAAAGTTGGAAGTTTTAATAGGAACGGGGGGAGTACGTAGTAAGATGGGTTTAATCCACTAAATCTCCTTGTGAATTATAAATTCGGCGCATTAGTCCCATGTGATTTAAAAAATGTGTCAAACCTTCATGTGTTATCATTAATCATGCGCAAGACCCCTTCCAAGAACAAATTTAATTTCAAAAAAGATGAAAAAAGATCAGTTTTTTTTTGTATAATTTAGAAATTTTGACAAAGTTACTTGCATATTCAACTATATTATTAAAAACGTGATTTCAAAATTGAAAAATTTGTTCTTGAAGGGGATTTTGCGCATGATTAATTAAAACACATAGGAGTTTGACGTGTTTTTTAAATCACAGGGACTAATGCGCTGAATTTATATTTCACGAGGGGGTTTGACGCATTTAAGCCGTAGTAAGATAGATAGCTGAGCATCACCGTTTAATACCACCTTATCTCTGTCCGGTCGGGGTTGGGGGGCCCTCAGGGATGGGGTGTCATCCTTTTTTTTTAATAGCACCTTATCTATCCCTGCTGACTTCTTGACGATAGAGATGACTTTTCAGAAAATCCTAAATTAAAGAGATACTTTGTATAATATTTTCTCAAAATAGGAGTCAAAAGTCAAAACTTATATAACTAAATATGTAGACTCCGTCTCTAGACTTAACCTTTCCATTGAAAAATGGTCCAATTGTTTAGCTAATAATAAATTAAGGTTATTCAAGTATATTTTGAGAAGATTTTTTAAGATTAACTCAACATTATAGGTTGAACAAGTTTAAAAGACGGACTTCTCTAGGGTTCTTATTGATTTCTGTTGACTTTTCTAGTTGTCTTCTACTTGTCACAAGTACGCTTAGATCTAATTGCAGATTTCACTAATTATTTACCCGGGATCACAAACCGGCCAACAAATCCTGGACTAGTACCGGTCGGGAGGTGGGTATCAAGATGGTCTCAGTATGCAAGATTTGAATATTTAATTTTGATTTTTTCTATCATTTTACGATAAATAAAGTTGAATAAAGATATTCTACATTAATACTGATACATAAGATAAACTTACCTTTTTAATTTTTTAAAAAATTAAAAAGTGATATTTTATATGTTGTGGGGCAATCCGATGATGATGGCGATGGAGCATGATTTTTGGAGATTTTCAGCGGCGGCGACAGATCGCACAGCAGCGGAGTTCTGTCGACGGCAGCTCCGTGACAGTGTGGTGGCTAGCCCAAACCTTACAAGGGTATCCTTTTCCGGCTTAAAAATTTCTATTTGGGGAATCTCAAAAACATCCTCCTATATTTATACTTTCTTCATGGTTTACTCCTGTACTTTTCCCTAGATGGTGAAAATCCAGTAGCCGAAAGCATCCTATTTATTTCAAAATATTTTATGTTAATTTGTGCTATTGTATTAATTGTACTCTAAAATTTTGTTTATGTGGTCCAGTTCAGACAAGGATACCCCTGCAGGAGCTGCTGTCAGTCTGCCACCGGCCGAACTGCTGCCGCCTCTGGTCACTAGAATATGCCAAGAATTTCAAAATGTGTCTGCCACCGGTCTGATGTCACCTGTATCCTAGAAGGGCTAATATCTTCAAAAAATTACTACACCTATAATTACAAAAATGAGTAGTTAGTCTTAGAAAAAACACTAAGCTACACATAAAATCTAATGGATAAAAATAGGCATTGAGCAATTTTTTATAACTTAGGTAAAGATGATTGAAAGGGCTAATTTCATTTGGATGCAACTGGGAGTTGAAAAAGAAGAAAATTTTCCACTTTTGGTCCCTCGAGTATTATACCACTTCCGCATTACGTACCTGACTTTCAACTTGTCCACATTTAGTCCCGACGTTTTCTTCCTTTACCATCCGTCGTCCTTCCGACCAAAACTCCGGCCGGTTGAATCATTTATTAAAAAAGGGAAGGTTAGTCTAGTAATTTCATAGGCTGGTCTTCACTTCTTCCTCGCCAACTCCATCTGTATCGTAACCACCCCTTCTTTAATACCCCTTACATTATCCAACATTTAAACCTAAATCCCCAACCAACTATTCCGTCGTTTTCCTCCTTCGTAGGCACTCCCTGTTCACTCCAACGACAACCTCTGTAAGCTCGAAGGCCACCATGTATAGCTGCAGTTCAACTACCTCGAAATCAACAGGCCGGTATGAATATGGAGAGTGGATTCCGGTCAAACAGAAAACTGTGGGAGAAGATTTTGGAAATGCGTTGGAAATGAGGTATTAGTAGCATGGTGCAGCTTTAAAATTTTCCATATTTTTTGAGATGATTGATTTTGTAAGTATTTGTATTATGTGATTGAAGTGGTCTGAAAGGTGTGGTTTGATGGACTGGTTTGACCCTCCAATGTGTAAAAGATCCAAGAAAATCATTCCAGGGTTGTTAAGAAAACTGAATGGGTATGAAAACCACATTCACACATTGGAGATGAAGCTGGAAGCAGCTGAGAAACCAGAAAACAAAAAAGATAAGATGGAGAAGATAGAGCACAAAAGATACTCTTGCAGCAGACTGGGCGTGTGCATTATAACATTTTTTGTGGTTTTTGCATCCATGTATGCACATAGAAAATAGTCTTGTAGCATGGTTTTTATGTATTCCGAACAATTTTGAGGAATGTTGGTAATATCTTTGAAATGTATTGATGCCAAATGTTCATGTTGATGACATGTATATATGAAGTTCTTTTGCATATTCAATGTTACAACTGTTGTGTTACATTATAAACTGGAAAACATGGTTCACTACAAACACACTTAACTTGAAACATATACTATGGTCACTAAAAGAACTGAATTACAAACATAAACACACTGGTATATCATCCCATTGAAAATAAACATAAACAACATGTCATATCTCCTGGTGGGCAAACAGAATTACAAACATAGACACACTAAAATTACATTCATAGCAAATGTTTTGTACTTCCAAAACAACCACCATTTACACATAGCAACCTGTAATATCTCCTGGTGGGCAAAAAACATAGTGATAACTACACTGAAGTTCATGGTACAACAAACACTACAATAAAACCTACAGCAAAATGGAAGCCCCTACAGTCCTTTCCAAATGATTGACATCAAACACTAGCCAAGGTCAATTGGGTCTGCATCATTCCCAAAAAAACAGACTTGAAGGTCGTTTTGGATCTGGTAGAATAGGTTGGTCCTTTTTTTATGTCAAGTTTTTTGAGTTTTGGTTTTCCATGTCCTGAGTTCACCCCTTGTGGTTGTGCACCTTTTGAAATGAAATTCTTAGAAGGAGGGGGTGATCCAAAGCTTATCCTGACCCCATGAGTATTTCTTTGCTCAAACCCATGGGTGTTGTCTTTGTCAACATCATCAATCTTGTTTTCATCAATAGCATCACTCTGGTTTGCAGCACTATCCTGACTTTGGGTTTCAGTCCCTTCTCCAGTCTCTCTTTCAGCATCTTGGCCACTTAGTTTTTCAACTTCTTGGTCACTCACTTGAGTGAACATTGAAGTATCTTCCACTGAAACAACAATAGGAAACTCAAGTCCTAAAGATGGGAAGTCTTCATATTGCATATTGATATCCATAAGGTTGTCCTCATCTAAAGCAGAAACCTTGGGTGTTCCCACATCCTCATTACCAGCACTTTCACCAACACTTCCTCCACTATGCCTTGGTGCAGATTTTGGTTTTCTTGTTCTAGGTTGAAGCTGTGTGTAGAAAAAATATAATGGTTAAAGAAAAATAAGATGAAGTACATATAAGTCCTAAATAAGTAAATGACATAAATAACATAAATCATGAGTGTATTTACCAGTTTCAGAGTCACCTTTCAGTTCATTTAGTGAAGAATTTGAATAGCAAAAGACTGTTCTTAACTTCTTTGTGCAACCAACTTCTTCTAGTTTCTCTTTCAACACAATTAAGCCAAACTCATCCACATCTACATCAGAAAACAAATGTGTAGTATACCTCCCCTGTAAAATGGTCTGCTACTCTCACTCACTCTTCCTCCGTACCTCAACTTTAGAGTAAACGTGGTATCACATGGGGCTGCATAAAAAACATTTAATGTGGTAGTTCAATCATTGTAAGTAAAGGGAAAAGGAAAAAGAATTGGTCCCATTTGTCAAATCCCAAAAAGTAAAGAGAAAAAAGATTCTCAACAACAAAATCCTACCCTACCGAGCACAAAACCATACCCTACCGAGCACCATTTGTACTTCAATTCAACAAACTTACCATTACCAGCAACATTTGATGAAGAACTTTGATGACAACTTCTTCCTTCTCCATTCGATCTGCGCCCCATTCTGATTGCAAACACTCCAGTCGGAAGCGTCCTCATTCACCGGTATGGTTTTAGGGTTCGCAGAGTAATCGTCCTCATTCAGCCGGAAGTTTCATAGAGTAAGCGCAGGTTTGCAGAGAATGGACTTCTAGCCGTTTTAAGCCTATGAAATTACTGGACTAACCTTCCCTTTTTTAATAAATGATTCAACCGGCCGGAGTTTTGGTCGGAAGGACGACGGATGGTAAAGGAAGAAAACGTCGGGACTAAATGTGGACAAGTTGAAAGTCAGGTACGTAATGTGGAAGTGGTATAATACTCGAGGGACCAAAAGTGGAAAATTTTCGAAAAAGAATGACTCTAACAATTGAAAAATGTACATTGAGTATATGCTTAGATAATTAGTGAGAGAATTACCTAACTAGTAGTAAAAGTTAGCCAAAAATCACAAATAGGACTACCTTGTTTTAAATTACCTAGTAGGACTAATTATGTGTGTTTGGACAAATATACCTTTGTAGTTTACTAGTTTTTTTATTTATTAGTTTTTATTAAAATTTTAAATTATTTTTCAATTTCTTTAAAAAAAATTATTTTATAAATATTTTATTATTATTTTTAATTTTTTACGTTTTTTTATTTTTTTACGATTTTGTTATGAATTAAAACATTTTAATATGACTTAATATTCTTAGGGGTATTTAGGATAGAAAATTAATGTTCAGTCCTATTTGTGAATGATCTAGGCTTTAGTCCTATTTGTGAAATCAAGTTTCCATTTAGTCCTATTTAGATCAATTTTTAATAATTAATTTAAGAATAAGACATACACAATAAAAAAATAAAATGCACACACATATTCTTTGTCTAAAGCTAAAAATACGGAGTAAAATCATTTTGTAAAGATACTACGTCCCATTTTGGTTAGTCATCTTTGAATTTTCTAATCCATAAACTTTGACCAATTATTTTAAGTAATAATATTATGCAAATCTAACATTTTTATACATTTGCAATAGTATTTTTAACAAAGAACATTTTCATCTCATATTCATATTATGAATTCTTTTGTATAAAAATATATAATCGATCAAAATTAGGCACCGTTAGCTTGAAAAGTATTACTCCCTCCGTCCTGCTAACGATGAGACAAGAGAGAGTGTCACGCAAATCAATAAAAAGTGGTTTATGTGGTTGATATTGAATTGATAAAGTAAGAATAAAGTAAGAATGATTTAGTGTCACACAAACATTACCAAATTTGGTATGAGACAATCTCAGTGAGATGGACGGATAAGGTAAAATGGGACAATCATAGCGGGACGGAGGTAGTATGTAGTTACTAATAGTTATTGCCTCATATAGGACTAAAAGAGGGGAGAAATTCTCAAATAGGACCATGCATGACCCCCCCCCCAAATAGGACTATTTTACTCCTATTTTAAAACATTCGTATTTTTCATTCCATTATTACCCCTTATTTTTACGCACATTTCTCCTCTCCCCTGCGCACAACCCCTCCCCCCTTTTCTCCCGTGCACATCATCAATCAACTTCACCATAGCCATCATTGCCACCGTCGACTTCACCTTGTGCACCAGATCGATCGATTTCTCTCTCACGCCGCCGCTGCAGCCGATTTCACCGCGCGCCATTGCCACCAAGGCTCTCTCCCTCCTCCTCTTCCTCCTCCTCCTCCTCTGTTGATTTTTTCAATTTTCAGACTTCCATTTTGATTTTTTGGTTTTTAATTTCAGAGTTTTAAAACAATCCGATTTTCATTTTTTTGGATGATTGCTTCAGATTTGACCAAGTTTATGGCATAAATGTGTATATTTACAATCATATATTATGGAAGAAATGATTTTGTATAAATTAGTTTTTCTGTTTTTTGTCAACAACTTCGTTTTTCTAATGTCTAGTCGTGTTAAAATGCTTGTTCCATCAAAATTTTTAATTGTTTGAATATTTGGTTATTTAATTCATGTTTTTAGATTTTTGCCAAACTTATGCAGTTTCGTGTTAATATGACGATGTCACGCCTCGGACCGCATCCGGGCCACGTAGACAACCGCCGTACAACCCGTTAAGAACAACAACAGTTCATCCCTATTGAATTGTACAAGGCGTCCGATTGATTCTATTGCCAAACCGATTAGTAAACTCATACAATCAACATCAATATCATAATCAACAAATGCGGAAATAATAATATGTTTAATACTTAGTCACACGTGGCAAACACGGGCACGCAGGCCCCCAACTGTTTTAAAGAAAACGTTATTCGAAAATCCATGAGCAGTTTATAAATTTGAAATAAGAATGGAAGCACGAACCACGTCTTCCTTCTTGATCAATCACCCTAGGCAAAGGTGCAGGTAGTAGGACTCTAGCCTCAACCTGAAAAATGTGAGGGCCCCCCGGACGGGTCAGTACTCCATAGAAGTACTAGTGACAAGCACACTATATGGAGAATAACTAATGTTTCAGACACGAGACCCAAAAATAGGGTGATACACACACACACACACACACACACACACACACACACACACACATATATATATATATATATATATATATATATATATATATATATATGACTCATCCATCCGATGATACATACTGTATATATATTTGTAGAATACTCGACCCGTAGGTCATTTCATTCAAAGAGTCTTTTAGAGACAAAGTTCTTACCTGACCTTTCTCGAATGCCTAGCTCACAAGCTACATTCTACATTAATAATATCCTACCGAGTTTTGGGAGCATTTAGCATCCCGAGGATACTCAACCCCAACCGAGTTTCAGGATCATTTACCGTCCCGGGGATACTCAACCCCAACCGAGTTTCAGGATCATTTCCAGTCCCGGGGATACTCAACCCCAACCGAGTTTCAGGATCATTTATAGTCCCGGAGATGCTCAACCCCAACCGAGTTTCAGGATCAATTAATGTCCCGGGGATGCTCAACCCTAACCGAGTTTCAGGATCATTTAATGTCCCGAGGATGCTCAACCCCAACTGAGTTTCAAGATCATTTAATGTCCCGGGGATACTCAACCCCAAACTCAATCCTTACCAAACCCTAACCTGGATATGGCTAACCTTTCGTTCCTTTAACTATGGACAATACCTAGCCCTATAGTCATATAACCATCCTTAAGAACCAACGTGGACGGGTCCCACCTGAACGACCCACATTAACCCGCTCAAAACTGCCCGTTTTGAGCATAACCCAATACTCGATCGAGTATCTACCCATACTCGGTCGAGTACTTGAGACAGTAGCCCACAAAGCTACTTCTTAATGTATACTCGATCGAGTATCTACCCATACTCGATCGGGTATAGGAGGCAGTAGCCCCCTTGGGCAATTTTTCAACAAATACCCGGTCGGGTATGTGACAATACCCGGTCGGGTATGGCAGTTGACTTGGCGGTCAACGCCCGTTTGATCACCCAAACGGAGTCCGATTAACGTGAAATTTTATACACATATACTTCTTGACATCCTTGACCCAAAAATACCATTTTGGATCCCTGGAACATCACACATAATAAGTTATCACATTTTTAATCACCAAACCTACATAACATGCTTTTCAACTATGTTTTATGTATAATCATGGCATAAGCAAACACTTGGTTATCTTTAATCATTACACAAAACATGTCCTTGATTACTTTAGGTAATATCATGCCTCATTCAAAAGTTATAAAGCATAAAGCCGTCTTCTCACCTTAATGAAGCTTATGAAGTTTTAGCCTTCCCGATTTAGCTCCGGCGAAACTCCGGCGAACTTCAACGAACTCCGGCGACAACTCCGGCGACCCTTTCAACTCTGTGAAAGTTCCTTGAATACCTTAGAAAAGTTACTAACAAGGTTTTATCATCATAAAACCCATAGTAATACAAATAACCTCGAAAAGGTTATTTTCCGGTGAACCGATCACTTTGGCTTCTAAGTCCGTTCTTGGACTTAGAACTACCTTCCAACCCCTCATTCTACTTCTCTAAACATTTAGAACAATTCTAGGGGTCCTAAATATAACATATAAGTCATATGGTAGTTAAAGAGTAGAGGAAGAGTTAAAATGAGGTCATTACCTTAACCACCCTACTTTTCCTTCCTTCTTCTTCTTTAAATTTCTCACTTTGACCTCCTTGGGCTTAGCTCGGATTTGGCTGTGGGAGAATGGGGTTTCAGAGCTTCCTTTCTTCCTTTCCTTGGTCTTGGCCGAGTTAGTGGGGGGGGGGGGGGGGGGGATGGGTAGGATTACCCTTTTTGGCTCATTTGAGCAATGAGTGATGGGGAGCCCCCGCCCCCTGTTTTGTATGATGCCAATCATCTCAAACCAACTTCCTCCCACCTCCATCCATTTTTACGCCTCCCAGCTCACTTTGATGAGGTATACTCGTGGGTTGGCCCCCACTTATGTGGGAGGTCAACCCTTTGTGTCCCCGAGTGTACAATCGGTCCCGAAAGTTATATTTTCCGTACTGCTTTAACTATATTTTATTTTATCAGGTCAAATAAAATATAACACTTGTTCCCAATCCTTATTTGACCTTAGAATCAATATGTATTCTCCAATTTTAATTTAGAAGTCTCCGAAATTCCTTTTTGGGCTGTTATCTGATAAATTGCTGATAGTGATAATTTTGCCCCGTTTGACCATCCGGTCAACCCTGTGCCATTGCCATGGCCCAATTAGGATATCAACTACCATATAAATATTATCTAATCCAAGATTAATATAATATGTGGTCCCGATAATATCGGGCGGCCCCACATCCGGTGTGGACCCCACGTGAATTTTACTATTCACGTAAAAGAAATGATAAAAATTTACAATCACGTAAAAATGTTTTTATACATTTCTCAGGGTTCAATACATAATTTGATAAAGTACAAATACTTGGGGGCGGTGTTACAGACGAGATGAATCTGCAAACTCTTTGGCAAATCTGAAACACTTGTTCATGGCCAATGTGAATCTAATCCTTAATGCTAAATCTGCCAACTTAATGACAGATTATTCCACCTGAATTGTCACAGTTGCGGCGGTGCTCAAGATATGGCGGTGGCAGTGGATGGTGACGCCGATCAGATAGTGATGTCATGGATGGCGACACTAGTGTGGGAAGCGGCGGGCGCAAGGGGCGGTGATGGATGGCGATGATGCACTGGCAAGGATGCGGTGGCTGACAACAGATAGAGAGGGCGGTGACAGGGGGCGCCATCGCCGGAGAAGGCGGCGGTAGGCTGCGCCGGTCAGGGGCGGCGGTGGGCTGCGGTGGCGAGGGGCGGTGGCAGGTTGTGCCGGCAAGGGGCGGCGGCAGAAGGGTTGGCTCTGGTTGCAGAAGTGTTATTGCTAAGGTTTCAATAGTTTCTCGTTTTACATTTTTTTATTTTAAAAAATTAAAAGAGGGGTATTATTGTCCAACTGTATTGAAATTAGTGGTATGAAACATGTGTTTCGTTGATAGTCCTAAATGTGTGATTAAGTTTGTTATTACTCCTATCTATAGTTTTATACGCTAAACCTGATTTAATTTATATAAAGCCGAGGTGTCGCTTTCTTATTGGTTAATGCAAATAATAATTATTAATACTTTAAAACATTAAGTAATTCATTCATTAAATGCTACGAGATAAACTGTGGCCAGACTCCTAAGTGTACTCTACCAATTAATTAAATGCTTAAACTTCACAATATATATAATCTCCACATGCTAGAAACATGTTATCGATAATTTTAATTTTTTTTATTAAATACATATCCACAATAAAAAATTAAATAAGTACATACTCCCTCCGTCCTTAAATGTTTGTCACACTTTGACTTCACAAGTTTTAAGGAGATGAATTTGACCTTACACTGTAACGACACTGTTTCACACTGTAGCGGCACTGTTTGGCACTGTTTTGCACTGTTTGACACTGTTTGGTATATATTTGTTTATCAAATAAGGAAGTTGGAAAAGTATGACAAACATTTTGAGACATCCGTTTCGGGAAAGTGTGACAAACATTTAGGGACGGAGGGAGTATCTATTAGGAGTCTACTCTCTTTAAAATGCTATTTTTAGATGTCAAATTTATCAAATTCATTTTTTTCAGCGATAAGCTTCTTTTAGTCATATCTTTCTAAATAATTCATTACTAATTTCATTTTTAGTGCATTTACATATCCAATAGGAGTCTACTCTCTTTAAAATGCTATTTTAGATGTCAAATTTATCAAATTCTTTAAAAGAAATACGGACCATGGTTTTAAATTGTGGATAGCAACACGTGTTGCGGTCGCAATATTGCAACCACATCGGTCCGCCATGGCGGTGAGCTTTTCGATTCAGGGGGAACCGCTACATAACCGGAACAAGGTAGCATCATACTCCATAAGGACAACAACATTAATTTAACTTTTTTCGTTTTTCGTTTGAACGTAAAGTTAATTCACATTGCGTCGCCCCCAATACGCATTGCAATAGCCAAAACCGCAGTAACCACAATCATATTTTAAAACCTTGATACTGTCTAAGAGTAAATATATAATATATGATGATGCATAATTTAATAGTCATTTAACATATATAAATCTATAATTAGTTGTGATTAGTTCATAATTAAAATTGAGTATATTAAACTTTGGATCCTATGAATAATTCACAATATCTATTGCGAGTAGCATTTTTCGTCTTAACTCATACTACGTATCAAATTGATGTGGGGCATCGCCTCGGGCTTTACTCCTAGTTACTCCTATTTGACTAATAAACTCTTGGTAGATTCTATGGTACCCTTAAGGTACCATACCTTTGTCCATATGGATCAATTAGAATGCTGCAGTTGAATTATTTAAATCTAAATTAAAAATGACATAATGATTTGGACCAATCAAGTGATTGATAGGTACAGTACCCCAATTTTTAAAGGTGACAACTCAGGTACCCATTTAAAAAATGGGGTACTGTACCTACCACTCACTTAATTGATTCAAATCATTACATCATTTTTAATTTAGATTTAAATAAGGTGACAACTTCGGTACCTTTCTAAAAAATGGGGTACCGTACCTATCATTCATTTGATTGGACCACATCACTTTATCATTTTTAAGTTAGATTTAAATAATTCAACTGCTACATTTTCATTGGTCTGTGTGAACAAAGATATGATAGCTTATGAGTACCATAGAATCTACCTTTAAATTCTATGGTACCCATAAGGTACCATACCTTTGTCCACATGCACCAATGAGAATGTAGCAGTTGAATTATTTAAATCTAAATTAAAAATGATAAAGTGGTATGGTCCAATCAAATGAATGGTAGGTACGATACCCCATTTTTTAGAAAGGTATCGGAGTTGTCACTTTAAATAATTCAACTACATCATTTTGATTGGTCGACAAAGTATGATACAAGGGTACAATCTACCGGTTTTAAATGGATATGGGAATTGTCAACTGAAGTCTTACCAACTACTCCTTACTACGTAGTACTTCCTCCGTTCTTTTTTAGTTGCAACAATCAACATTTCACATTTACCAACGCACGTCTTTGACCACAATTATATCTTAATTCTATTAGTAAAACATATTAAAAATCAGATTTTAAATATTTGTAATGAGATGAATTGAAACATATTTTTTTAAAAAAAATAATTTTCATAAAATAATAGTGTAAATGTAGTCAAAGTAGAGCATGTGAATAGTGTAAAATTAAACATGTTGGGATTAAAACGGAAGAGGATAGTATTAAAGGAACCATTGAAAGAAGACATGCTTCACGAAAAGATATGGCTGATATCAACAACGACGACGAGATCGATGTTGATTTTTCTCCGTTCATCAGGGTCTACAAAGACAGCCGCGTGGAGCGTCTCTTCGCCTCCCCCCACGTCCCGCCGTCGACGGAGGACTCCGCCACCGGTGTCTCCTCTAAAGACATCTCAATTTCCCCCAATATCTCAGCGCGGGTCTACCTCCCGAAACTGACCTCCGCCGCCGCAGGGAAGCTCCCCATCTTGGTTTACTACCACGGCGGAGGCTTCTGCCTCGAGTCCGCCTTCTCCTTCCTCGACCACCGCTACATGAATATCCTGGTTTCAGAATCCGGCGCCGTCGCCGTCTCCATCGAGTACCGCCTCGCCCCAGAGCACCCTCTCCCGGCAGGCTACGAGGACGGGTGGGAGGCCCTCCTCTGGGTCGCCTCCCACGCCGGCGGCGATGACAACGGATTCAAAGAGTCATGGTTAGTTGAGCACGGCGACGTCGGGAAAATAGTCGTCGCCGGCGATAGCGCCGGCGGGAACATCGTCCACAACGTGGGCATGAGAGCCGGGAAAGAGGGCATGAAAGTCTCGGGAGGGGTGCTCTGTTTCCCATACTTCTGGGGGTCAAAGGAGAAGGGCGGTGCCGGTGAGCAAAGCACGCCGGGGAAGTTCTGGAACTTCGTCCACCCGACGGCGGAGGGAGGGGTGGACAGCCCGATGATAAATCCGATGGGGGAGAGCGCTCCTAGCTTGCGTGGGCTGGGCTATTCGAAGCTTCTGGTTTGTGTTGCGGAGAAAGATGAGCTGAGAGAGATTACTCTCCGGTATGCGGAAGCGGTGAAGAATAGTGGGTGGAAAGGTGACATTGAGGTTGTTGATGTTGACGGTGAAGAACATTGTTTCCAGATATTCAATCCAGATTCTGAGAAAGCCAAGGTTGTCATCAATCGTATTGCCTCTTTCATTAAAGCCTGAATCATATCTTGCCTCTTTCATGCGCCAAGATAATCATATAAATATTACTTCCTATTAGGTAAATTATATTTTCTTATTTAAATGATTTTATATAATTTTGGTAAGTTTTACTCTGCAATGTCAAGAAGACCGTCTAAATGTAGACATTTTAGTTGACATTTTTAATTTTTTTTAACAAAAATTGAATAAAATCATTCAAATAAGGAGAGAAATGATTTATTTACCCATATTTATGTGGTCATCTTTCATGTCACATGTGCATATTTATGTGGTCATCTTTCATGTCACATGTGCACCGTAATATTTATTTACCAATATTTAGTTGCATATGTGGTCATCTTTTATGTTTGTTGGGGCATTGTTGCCGCTAAAATACTCCATAATTAATACTCCGTATCTATTTACTATCTCAAGAAAGTGTTAAACCTCACTTGTTAACCTTTTTCTACTTTCCGTGCACAATTAAGAGCCCTTTTGGTAATAGTGAGAGTCCGTTTGTGACTCGTTTCACGACTTATCGGGTTTATCACTCAACTTTTCAGCAAACACGTAACTTCTGATTTTGCACGCTGAATTGTACGGAGTATATTATTACGGAGTACAATAATAAGAAAAAGTAAGGTTGAAGTTATTTTCCGGCTGTATGGGCTGAAATTACTGTAGAGGATTATTTTAACTATTTTCATGTAATTTTTCTTTATTTTATTAATAAAGTATATTTTAAATATTTTTTCACAAATCAGTAGAATTAGGCAATGAAGTCAGTGCAAGCAGAACTTCATAAATTTCAGCAGAATCAACTGATTCAACCAATTTCATTGTTACCAAACGGGCTCTGAAATTGAGTGAATCAGCTGATTTTGTTGAAATTTATGAAGTTCCGGTTGAAGTGGCTGGTGATGGAGTATATGGCCCAAGGACCCCCGACCCACATACTTCCTCTACTACAATCAGGCCCAACAGGCCCAAACGGGCCAAACCCAGCAAAATGGAGCTCTGAGCAGCCCACAATACGCAAAGGGGTGCCTTCGGCCCTATGGCCGAAGGCTACCAGTGACGGAATCGAGCTCAGAAACATCACAGGAGAACAAGGCTTGAAAACCTAGCCTTCGGCACCTGCAGCCCTCGGCAGGTAGGAGCCCTCGGTTAGAAGAGGCATCACAGGAGAACAAGGCTTGAAAACCAAGCCTTCGGCACTGCAGCCCTCGGCAGGTAGGAGCCCTCGGTTAGAAGAGGCATCACAGGAGAACAAGGCTTGAAAACCAAGCCTTCGGCCCCCGACATCAGACGGCCCTCGGCCTCAACATGACTCTATGTCATAACGGTTTTGGCCTTAGCGTGATCTCACATCACCAACGGCCCTCGGCCTCAACATCAGACGGCCCTCGGCCTCAACATCAACAACGTCCCTCGACCTCAGCATCAGAACGGCCCTCGGCCTCAATATCAACAACGGCCCTCGGCCTCAGCGTGAGGAATTCACAATGGCCCTCGGCCTCAACATCAGACGGCCCTCGGCCTCAACATGACTCTATGTCATAACGGTTTTGGCCTTAGCGTGATCTCACATCACCAACGGCCCTCGGCCTCAGTGTGATCCCACATCACAACGGCCCTCGGCCTCAACATCAGAACGGCCCTCGGCCTCAAAATCAACAACGGCCCTCGGCCTCAACATCAGGACGACCCTCGGCCTCAACATCACCAACGGCCCTTGGCCTCAGCATGATTCCACATCACAATGGCCCTCGGCCTCAACATCAGACGGCCCTCGACCTCAACATCAACAACGTCCCTCGACCTCAGCATCAGAACGGCCCTCGGCCTCAACATCAACAACGGCCCTCGGCCTCAGCGTGAGGACATCACAATGGCCCTCGGCCTCAACATCAGACGGCCCTCGGTCTCAACATGACTCTATGTCATAACGGTCTTGGCCTTAGCGTGATCTCACATCACCAACGGCCCTCGGCCTCAGCGTGATTCCACATCACAACGGCCCTCGGCCTTCATCCCTCCGACATCTTTATTTGATGTCGGGGGCTATCATACAGGCCCATCGGCCTTCATCCCTCCGACATTTTTATTTGATGTCGGGGGCAATCACACAGGTCCCTCGGCCTTCATCCCTCCGACATCTTTATTTGATGTCAGGGGCTATCATACAGGCCCATCGACCTTCATCCCCCCGGCATCTTTATTTGATGTTGGGGGCAATCACACAGGTCCCTCAGCCTTCATCCCTCCGGCATCTTTATTTGATGCGAGAGGCTATCATACAGGCCCATCGGCCTCCATCCCTCCGACATCTTTATTTGATGTCGAGGGCCATCACACAGGCCATCGGCCTTCAGCCCTCCGGCATCTTTATTTGATGTCGGGAGCTATCATACAGGCCCCTCGGCCTTCATCCCTCCGACATCTTTATTTGATGTCAGGGGCCATCATGAAGACCCCTCGGTCTCCATCCCTCTAGCATCTGTATTTGATGCCAGGGGCTCTAACACAAGCCCACCTGGCCTTGCACCCCTCCGTCACCTTTATTTGATAACGGGGGGGGGGGGGGGGGGGGGGGGGGGGGTCCTTACAAGCTCCTTAGCTTTTTCATGCAGGATCTAAGGCTGATCTTGGATATCCCCTCAGCAGACGGACACAACCGCCGCTCAACAATCAAGGCCGAAGGGTGCACTCCTTTTGCTTCATTCTGAGGGCATCCGGTGTACTCTTTTTCTCTCATTAGGATTTTTTCCCACAGGGTTTTTTCCTAATGAGGTTTTTAACGAGGCATCTCCCCATTGTGGAACAAAAGGTGTCACCCCTCGGCGGCTCCTGCTGAAGGCATGCATCACTCTACTCCTGTTTCCCTCGAGAAACTCTCGGCAAAAGGAGTGGGGGACTGGGGGACTCCCCTCGACAAAACACGCAAATGTTAAAAAATTTCTATTTCTCAGCTACAGCAGGCTGAGGCAAGATCACAGTGGCAATCTACTCCCCTCGACATGATGCTTTCGACTTACAGAATGCCTCCGGCCACACAATGCCTTCGGCCACAAGATGCCTTCGGCCACAAGATGCCTTCGGCCACACAATGCCTTCGGCCATATGATGCCTTCGGCCACATGATGCCTCCGGCCACATGATGCCTTCAGCCACATGATGCCTTCAGCCACACAAAGCCTCCAGTCAACAAATGCCCTCGGCAAAGCACACAAATGCAGATCTCTCATTACTTTACAAACTACAACAAAGAAACACATACGAGCAACACACTTACACTCCCTTCAGGAAGCTCTCAGCCCTCGACATATGGGGGAATTGAGAAAATCAGGCACCCAACAGGACAGGGAAGCCTTCGGGGAAATCACCACAGCTACTCCTTTTCCCTCAAGTACCTTTCGGCAAAAGGAGTGGGGGACTCATGATAGAGTATATGGCCCAAGGACCCCCGACCCACATACTTCCTCTACTACAATCAGGCCCAACAGGCCCAAACGGGCCAAGTCCAGCAAAATGGAGCTCTGAGCAGCCCACAATACGCAAAGGGGTGCCTTCGGCCCCATGGCTGAAGGCTACCAGTGACGGAATCGAGCTCAGAAACATCACAGGAGAACAAGGCTTGAAAACCAAGCCTTCGGCACCTGCAGCCCTCGGCAGGTAGGAGCCCTCGGTTAGAAGAGACATCACAGGAGAACAAGGCTTGAAAACCAAGCCTTCGGCACTGCAGCCCTCGGCAGGTAGGAGCCCTCGGTTAGAAGAGGCATCACAGGAGAACAAGGCTTGAAAACCAAGCCTTCGGCACCTGCAGCCCTCGGCAGGTAGGAGCCCTCGGTTAGAAGAGCCTTCGGCCCAGCACCCTTCAGCCGAAGGCATCCACCTCGACAGAATATCCTCTTCACATGCGCCTGGATCACCGTACCAAGTACAAACGTCACATCCAACCACCGCATTTAATGCGGCCACATGCGAGTGCCAGTGCCACCCCGGTCGAGGTGACCCCTCGACCACCAGAAAACTGACACGTGTCCTTATCTAGCATTTATTACTACTATAAATAGCACCCCTTTCCCCCATTGTAAACCACGCTTAATACACACCGAATATACACTCTCTCTCTTACTTATTTGCTCTGACTTCTTTCTAGTTATTCTCCGCAATAACCCCTCGGATAAGCTACCCCTCGGGTACACTATCCATCAGCTGGATTGACCAATTATTTATGAAAAAATTATATTTAAAATAATTTTATTAATCAAATAAAGAAAAAATTATATGAAAAATAATTAAAATGATCCTCTACGGTAATTCCAGCCAATGCAACAAAAAATAACTTTAATCTTACTTTTTGTTATTATTACACAATTTAGTGCGCTAAATCAAAATTCACGTTTTTGGTGAAAAAGATGACTGATAAGCCTGATAAGCCGAAAACAGAGTCATCAAACAGGCTCTAAGTTTATATTTTGACTTAATTGAAATATATAAAGCACGTTTGATAATACTGAAATTGGCAAAATCGGCTGATTCTGCTGAAATTTCTGACGTTCTGGCTGAAGTCGTTGTATTTGCTGATTCTGGTGATTTTTGAAAAAATATGTTTAAAATATATTTTATTAATAAAATAAAGAAAAAATATATGAAAAAATAGCTAAATAAATCATCTACACTAACTTCAAATCTTCAACTAATACCGTCAGAAAAGTAATTTCAACCTTACGTTTTCTTATTATTACACAATTCAGCGCGCGAAATTAAAAGTTACATGTTTGGTGAAAAAGATGACTGATAAGCCTAATAAGTCAAAAAAAGTCACTAAACGGACTCATAGTGTATGTGCATGTTTGGCAGACATAAGTCTCTGCCTTCTAGCTTTCGTACTGTTTAAAAAATCTCTAAAAGCTTTTTGTTGTATGTTTGGCATGAAAATTTTTAAGAGCATTTAAAAAAAATAAAAGATCTTTTTTGAGATGCTACGGGGAGTAGCATCTGAGAAAAGACCGTAACTTTTAGTATTAATTTGTCCTAACAGCTTGTATACCAAACAGAACTAAATCAAACAGTCGGCTTTTTACTAAACAGCTACCATCTTTTCTTTTTAAGATCTTTTCAGTCACTAAAAGCTAACAACTTTTCAGCTAGTCGCGCCAAACATACCTATATCCAAATTTAGGTCGAAATTTTAAGCTATGTACCAGCTAATGTCCATAGTCCATTATATCACTATT